CTAGGCCAGGCTCAGGCCAGGTAAAACCCGTTCACACCTAGACCCAGGCCAGGTCCAGGCCAGGCCTGGGCCGCTAGTGTGAACGCGGCTTTAGTAGTTCGTATCAAGTGACAGGAAGGAACATACCATAGATATTACATCATACACACTATATAGTCATAATACTTGGAATTTTGGAAATTTCACAGTAGGTTGATTGTATTTCGTGAGTGAATGTGCTTGGGCATATTGTCTATTTAGTCTAAATTCAGTATCGCTTTGTTGTTTGAGTATAGCAGTTCAGTATGGCGTCAATTTTCACAAACATTCTAAGTTCAACAGTGGGTTTACTCGTGAATAAAGCTCGCGACTCGGCTGCGGATAAACTGAAGAACGGCGACGTTACTGATGCCAAGATTCGCGAGCTCGTCGTAAGAGAGTTGAACGACGTCAAGACGAAACTCGATGGTCTGTCACGTAAAGATTTGCTCAGCAGCTACAGTTTTCTGAAGCAAGGTATCGATATGCTGAATGTTTCTCTTAATAAGTCCATGGACGAACAGAAAGATGTAGATAAACCTACCGACGAGCAAGCCGCATCAACAATGTCGAGCAGTGTTCAGTCTGGGATCTTAAACGAAGCCTTGGCACTTTCTCAAGCGATGGAAAAGTTAAATATTGTATCAGACGGCCATTTTGAATGTGCTAAAGAACGATTTAAAGATGCACGTAGAAGAGCAACCGACGCTTTCTCTAATCAAGCGTTGAGCATTGAAGACAGACTGATGGCGGCAAAACTACATATTGTTGCGACGATTTTGGAATGCCTCGAATCACCAGAACATGCGATCACATCGTGTCTGTCGTTTCTTAAGGAATTGCACGGTCTTGAGGCAATTGCCGATATATTCTCCGTGTATCTCAATCGTGGATTCATGTCGAGATTGAATAAAGCACAGCGAGTAGAATGCGTCAAGTCTGTTATGTTCCACATCCGCCTGGGCAACAATTGAACTTGCTGAACGTAGTTTTAACCCAGTATTGCATTGGCAGGAGGTTTCGACAAGAAAGTCTATGGGCGATGAACTCACCCAACTCCCCAACCTCCCCAACCGACCGATACTTGGTGAAGATATAGCTGCTCATTTTGCTGCTGTAAACGGCCATGGGGATGTTATTGTTGAAAACAGTCCTGATACCATCAAGATTATACCGAAGACAGGTAAAAGCAAGGTGGTTAAATTACCTGAACCCAGTGAAGGTAGAGTTATCAAGCAATATATTAGAGGACTTGCTGTTGATAAGAATAACAACGTTTACGTGGTGAGTTGGCTTAAAACATCTACGGAAATTGGCGAAGTGAAACGTTACGTGTTGGATGTACTGGACGAGAACTACAATGTAAAGCAGGACTCGCGCAGATTGGAATATTTGGACGCAACTGATTATGTGACGATCGCTGTAACCAAGAACAATGATATTGTGGTGATCCAATACAGTGATCCCCAGGTGTTTGTCATAGACAATACCGGGAAATTAAAGCACGTGTTTGAACTAGGCTCACGTTTTCTATACGGCTTAGGTATTTGTGGGCAGGATGATATCATGATACCATCAGACGATTTCCAGATTGTGGAGATATACTCCGAGGAAGGAAATCTGAAGTCAACAATAAAACTACCAGAAGGTCACGAGGTCCGTGGGTTGGCATTTAATTATGTCATTTGTAAAATAATTGTCTTAACCTATGTCGGGAAAAAAAATTCATTTTTCCTTCTGTGCTACACTGAAGCAGGTGAACTGGAGACCGAAACGTTCTTTTGTAGGGGATATGACGTATTTCCCCCCAGAATCTGTTCTCATCCAAGTGGTCCTATTGTTATTGTAAGCGAGAAAAGCATCACTTTCATTTAAAGGATTAATGGTTTTGTGCAGTACAAAAACTTTCTAAAAAAGCTAGCCTGGCAAACTTAAATAATAGTCTTACTGGTAAATAGCGTATGTCAACTATAGTAAAGTTGTAATTGACGTTTACTTATAATAAACTTTAAGTTTTTGATTAAATTTAATAACAAATGTCAACATTTTGACACGTTATTTTTTTACCACTTATAAAATAATTTTGTAACAACATTTTGCAGTGAATTCACAGTGATTTAGGATTGAATCAGGTTTTTGTTATTTTGAACAATTATATATTTAATTATTAAGGAGTTTAAGATGGAGTAATACGCGAGCAACAAAATTACTGAAACTTGCAAGAAAAACTGATTTCAATGCATGTTAATTAAAAATGTTCACAGATAAGTGACTAAAGATGAGACAAATCAGACAACATTCGTAATAAGACTTTTGCTTGATACAATATTCAAAATACAATACGATACAAATAAAATACGCAAGGGGTCCAAATTTGCGAGGGGAGTCCAAATCCGCTAGCGAATAAAGACCCCCATATATAACTCTAGCCTGCGTATAGCAGGCGTTTAGTGCGGGCGGGAGAAGAGAATGCGCCCTCTTAGCCTATGTCCGGGAAAAAAATTCATTTTTCCTTCTGTGCTACACTGAAGCAGGTGAACTGGAGACCGAAACGTTCTTTTGTGAGGGATTTGACGGATTTGACTCCAGAATCCGTTCTCATCCAAGTGGTCCTATTATTATTGTAAGCGAGAAAAGCATCACTTTCATTTAAAGGATTAATGTTTTTGTGCAGTACAAAAACTTTCTAAAAAAGCTAGCCTGGCAAACTTAAATAATAGTCTTACTGGTAAATAGCGTATGTCAACTATAGTAAAGTTGTAATTGACGTTTACTTATAATAAACTTTAAGTTTTTGATTAAATTTAATAACAAATGTCAACATTTTGACACGTTATTTTTTTACCACTTATAAAATAATTTTGTAACAACATTTTGCAGTGAATTCACAGTGATTTAGGATTGAATCAGGTTTTTGTTATTTTGAACAATTATATATTTAATTATTAAGGAGTTTAAGATGGAGTAATACGCGAGCAACAAAATTACTGAAACTTGCAACAAAAACTGATTTCAATGCATGTTAATTAAAAATGTTCACAGATAAGTGACCAAAGATGAGACAAATCAGACAACATTCGTAATAAGACTTTTGCTTGATACAATATTCAAAATACAATACGATACAAATAAAATACGCAAGGGGTCCAAATTTGCGAGGGGAGTCCAAATCCGCGAGGGGAGTCCAAATCCGCTAGCGAATAAAGACCCCCATATATAACTCTAGCCTGCGTATAGCAGGCGTTTAGTGCGGGCGGGAGAAGAGAATGCGCCCTCTCTTCTCCCGCCCGCACTATAAACGCCTGCTATACGCAGGCTATAGCTACCATTAACTCCATAAGCCGGTTTTCCACTAGCGATTCTTTTCGCGCGAAACGACCTTTTTCCTTTGTCGGTATCCATTTTGCCACGTCTTGCTGACGTAGGATAAGTGATACCGACAAAGAAAAAAGGTCGCTTCGCGCGAAAAAAATCGCTAGTGGAAAACAGGCTATAGGTTCATATTTGCTAGCGGATTTAGGCCGGCGGTCCATATTTTGAGAGGTGTCCAAATTTGCTGAGACACCGGTCTGAAGTCAGTCGGCTCGGTCCAGCAGGAGGAATGACTTGAGACCGGTCTTAGCTATTTTCGTCCAGGTCTCATGTAAACATCTATTATAAATAATACTATGACCGAAACAAAATGGTCCCGGTTTGACTTCGTTCCGGTTTCATGTAAACGGGGCCTAACAAAACCATCACAAGCCCGCCTGCATGAAGAACCCATTTTTACGTGTGTTTTATATCAGTTGCTTCTGTAGTAATACGCCACGCCAGGAGCTGCTATAAGATGTTTCAGCAAGTCAATTGAATGGTTAAGTTCACAAATCCGTGATATAGAGTAGTAGTTGAATGATTGACAGCGATCATGTACAGCGTGACACTTCATGGCACATTCTGCGACGTGATGGACGGCATATGTATCCAAAAGAAAACCAACTAGCTTGTGATTGTCAATGCGAGTCGTGCGAATGGTGAAACATGCTAGAAAAGAAGAAACGAATTATGATTGTTTTCAAAACAGACAAAATTTGAGAACGTTGGAGCATGCTCAGGAGTATATCGGATGTAATATTTCAAATGAGAACTTGAAATCTTGTCCAGCTAGTCCGAATAGACCTTTCCCCTTTTCAGTGAAATTTTGATGTAGACAAGTCTGGACAAAAATTTCATCACAGCTTGAAAGAGCATCACAAAATTAGTAATATTCCAAAGTTTCATTGCGAAATGTTGTAAAATGAGGAAAATATAGCCTTGCGAAGTTTGCCGTTTTTCAGTCATTTTGTATTACAAATGGGAAATTGATAATCAGTTTGATCATCTGATTATCAATTTCCCGTTTGCAATGCATGCCAAATGACTGAAAAACGGCAAATTTCGCAAGGCTATATTATCCGCATTTTACAACATTTCGCAACGAAACTTCGGAATATTACTAATTTTGTGATGCTCTTTCAAGCTGTGATGAAATTTTTTTCCTGGCATATTAGTGAGGCGGATATGTGTAAAATTATTGATCAGTAGTTCCCGTTGAGGTTAAAAGCATCAAACTTTTACAATTGATGTAGTTTTATTTGCTTAATAGATATTTGAAGTGGGGCATCGCTATTTTGCTGCTAACTCCTGAAAACGGGTGATTAGTGATTTTCTTCTATTGAATTCTATTATAGCCAAAACATGTGAAATTGTGTATTCAATTACAACAAATATGACTTGCATCATCAGAAAGCTTATAAAAAACTGCATATAAGACATTTAGACAGTTTTTTGATTTCTGAAATAGTTTTCGAATTATAAACTGTTAAAAACGCATTTCCAAACATCGAATAATTAATTAGGGACTTTTAGCGAGATAATGTGCCTAATTTACAGCAATAACCATTTGAAGAATCAAAAAACTGTTTAAAAGTCTTTTATATAGTTTTTTACAAGCTTTCTGATGATGCAAGTTATATTTGTCGTGATTGAATTCAAAATTTCACAATTTTTGTTGTAGTAGAATTTAATAGCAAATAATGCTAATAGCATCGTAACTCTCTAAAAAAACAGTTTCACGATGGCCCCACTTTTGCATGTTGTTCTCCTCATAAAAAGATGCTACTGTGCACAATTTGGTGCTTTTAACCCTCTTCGGAAACATCCATGCACATATCCGCCACACTAGGTCTAGATCAAAATTTCACTCATAAGGGGAAAGGTCTATTGGAGGATTTGAAATGACATCTCATACGATTGAATCACTAAGGTGAGACGAACTAATTTAATATGATCCAGTCCTAGGACTGAATTAATTTTGATCCAGTCCAAGGACTGAATTAATTTTGATCCAGTCCAAGGACTGAATTAATTTTGATTCAGTCCTACGACTGAATTAATTTTGATTCAGTCCTACGACTGAATTAATTTTGGTTCAGTCCTACCAGTGAATTAATTTTGATCCAGTCCTAGGACTGAATTAATTTTGATCCAGTCCTACGACTGAATTAATTTTGATCCAGTCCTACGAGTGAATTAATTTTGGTCCAGTCCTAGGACTGAATTAATTTTGGTTCAGTCCTACGACTGAATTAATTTTGATCCAGTCCTAGGACTGAATTAATTTTGATCCAGTCCTACGACTGAATTAATTTTGGTTCAGTCCTACGAGTGAATTAATTTTGATCCAGTCCTAGGACTGAATTAATTTTGATTCAGTCCTACGACTGGATTAATTTTGATCCAGTCCTACGAGTGAATTAATTTTGATCCAGTCCTACGACTGAATTAATTTTGGTTCAGTCCTACGACTGAATTAATTTTGATCCAGTCCTAGGACTGAATTAATTTTGATCCAGTCCTACGACTGAATTAATTTTGGTTCAGTCCTACGAGTGAATTAATTTTGATCCAGTCCTAGGACTGAATTAATTTTGATCCAGTCCTACGACTGAATTAATTTTGATCCAGTCCTACGAGTGAATTAATTTTGATTCAGTCCTACGACTGAATTAATTTTGATCCAGTCCTATACGACTGAATTAATTTTGATCCAGTCCTACGACTGAATTAATTTTGATTCAGTCCTACGACTGGATTAATTTTGATCCAGACCTACGACTGAATTAATTTTGATCCAGTCCTACGAGTGAATTAATTTTGATTCAGTCCTACGACTGAATTAATTTTGATCCAGTCCTACGACTGGATTAATTTTGATTCAGTCCTACGAGTGAATTAATTTTGATCCAGTCCTACGACTGAATTAATTTTGATCCAGTCCTAGGACTGAATTAATTTTGATCCAGTCCTACGACTGAATTAATTTTGATCCAGTCCTACGAGTGAATTAATTTTGATTCAGTCCTACGACTGAATTAATTTTGATCCAGTCCTACGACTGAATTAATTTTGATCCAGTCCTACGACTGAATTAATTTTGATCCAGTCCTAGGACTGAATTAATTTTGATCCAGTCCTAGGACTGAATCATACTTCACCAGGTGTCCAGTATTATCACTGTATAGGGAGACAACATTATCATGTGAGCCAAATAAAGCAATATGGTTGGCTAATTACTCCGGAATTATTAACGAGTTTGAGATTTTGGTATATTTATTTATATGCATGCGTGTATATACTGGATTTTGGTATATATATATATATATGAACATAGTGAATGGTCTTACAAATTAGGAGCAAAACGCCTTGAATAAAGCATTAGGGGCCATTCACAAAGGATGTCCGAGCCGAGGGGGGAGGGGGGTTTGGAAAATCAGGACAAACTCGGACATAGGGGGGAGGGGGGGGGGTTAGCAATCCGGATGTCCGAAATTTAAAAAAATTCAAAAACAAATTTCTTTTTTCCTCTATTTTGAGCAGTCCTTTCCATTGTGAAATTGGCATTTTGACTATATGCGGTTAACACTAGATTTTGTTTTAATTAGTAATTTATATGTTTTTGTGTTCACATTTACAGTTATAAAAAAAGTTCTAAAAGTAAAAAAAGTTTTTTACTCTTGATATATACAAGGTTGTGTGAGTTTTTGCGAGGCATGGCGGATGTCCGGGGGGAGGGGTCACTAATTCGGACAATGCCGGACAAGGGGGGGAGGGGGGTTCTGAAAATCCATCATTTGGCCGGACATCCTTTGTGAATGGCCCAATACCTCTTTGAGGACATAAGGAAAATCTACAATACAAATCTGTGCCGTTCTCGGTTCCAATCCACTTGGCGGAGCTCGAAATATTCTCTACTTTTCCATACGGGATTTCCAACTCATTTCTCCAGTAAGCCACTGCGGGAGCCCACGATGTGTCCACGAATTGCGCGGAGTTCCACGCGGGATAATACTGGTCGGTACATAACCAGCCTTTGCTGCCGGTTACCACGGAAACGTCGATGGTGCCTAATATTTTTGGTGATTTGCCAGGTTTATGACAGTGGATAGCGAGGACAGTCGAGCCTGTAGGAATGTTGTAGTTTTGGGCAGTTTCGTAGCCTGATGTTTTGTTGTTTTGTTTAACGCCGTCTACATAAACTGTCATAACTCCATCACAGGTCAACATGGCTGCGGCTGCTTGAATTGTCGCTAAATATGGAATATTAAAAATACTGAAAAAGATTTTTTCTGTGTTGGTGTAATGTACTCAGGTGAATATGATGCTTGTGATGTTACTCTGAGTGTGTATCCACACCGGGCAAGCTTGAAAAATATGCCTGCATGGCCACGGTGGGAATCGAACCTACGACCTTTGGAATACTAGCCCAATGGCAATGCTCTGCCAAGTGAGCTACGCAGTCAGGTTGGTTCGAGTATGTGATATTTCGGAACAGACGGAACTGAGTGTAGTTCCTTCGATATCAGTGAAATCTAATAATCATGATATTTGCTGTGTTGTTGTAATGTATACTCAGGTGAATAAGAT